AGTCTATCTCATATATTAGTTTCACCTTTTAAGTTGCATTACTCAAATAAATGAACTTTTGCATGATATTCTAATTTTTTTTTGTTTCACCTGTATATAATTGAATCCTGCTGAAGCTCATTTACTTGTGTGCTTGCTGCATGTGCTGTTGCAGTCAACAAAAAACTCAGTCACATGGCCCTCCCAAGCCACACCCACCCAACCAATCACTAGGACAACTGGTTGTTAAATTACTTGAATCCCACCATTGGTAAGAGATTCTGCCTAGAGAAGAATAAAATAAAAGGTGAAGGGCACCAGAGCTGAATAACAACAGAGAAATAAGCTTAGAAAGGAACCACCTATCTATCAGATGGTAAAAAGAGATGGTGGGAGATCTGTATTTTCAGTTTGCAAGATTATATTAATGTAGCTCTACAATAAAGCAGAATTAAACATCTTGTCGAGTTTCCTGTTTGATCTATTTGGGAAGCTGACACCTGTTGCAAGATGCTAGGATATGTTTGATCCAATCCAGGCACCTAATGGACCCAGGTGGGATTCAGAGGGAGTTTGGGGTTATACCTATACATGCTATCTTGGTGAATAATTTGGGGGCGGAGGGGAGGGGAGGGAAAACCTCTGCAGTGTTCTCTACTAGGTCCCTCCCTGAAAAACTATCAAAATATTTCCCGTCATCCACTGAAAAAATATGAAGTGTCTGCTGTTGTTAGTTGTAGTGTATAGAAGATGATTCAGGACTAGCTTTTGAATTTAATATTTTTCACTGGCATGTTTTTAAAGAAAATAAATTCCTTCTTCCCATTTTTATAAGTCAAGTTTATCTATTCCCTTGCAGGTATTCACAGGGATATTCACAGCTGAGATGGTGCTTAAATTGATTGCTCTAGATCCTTATGAATATTTCCAGATAGGATGGAACATCTTTGACAGCATTATTGTTACTCTCAGCTTAGTTGAGCTTGGTCTTGCTAATGTTCAAGGTCTGTCTGTACTACGATCCTTCCGTCTGGTAAGTGACTTATAGAAAGTTTTCTGCAGCTTCAATATTTGATACCACACTATTGAGGGCAAAAACCATTCTTGGCAGAGGATCACATTATCTGAAAGACCACTTCCCCTGATTACATCAGCCATCTCCACTATATTTGGCAAAGTATGCATGTTATAAGTGCCATCAGCCAGGGACCGTCATTTGATTGTTCATAGGAAATGCGCCTTCTCTTCTCTGACACCCACTTTATGGAACATTCTTCCCTCTACCCCTTTGGGTATTCTGAAATGCTCTCAGATATTCACCATGTTGTGGGGCCTGAGGTTCTAAGGTGACTAGATACCTGCTCAGATGGTTTCCATTATTGAGGTGACCATTTTTATCCTCCTTTTCCTATGGTTTGTATTTTCACTTTTATGATACTTATTAATAAGGTTTTATATATTGTATATTTTTGTTGTTTTTATTTATTGTTTCTATTGTTTCTTGTTCACTACCAGAGTCATCTTCAGTGAGATGGGCAGATATATAAATTTGATTGATGATAAAGTAAAATAAATATTTTCCCTGCCCATACTAAATTAGATAGGGATATGATGTTTGCTGCAAATTGGGAAGCAGTGCAGAGAATTGCAGATTAAATTGTAGTGTGAAAACTGGGAAATGCTTGCCTGAAGATAGTCTCTTGGTTTGCACTATACTAGCTGCATATATCAAATAGCAAAACATCTGCCATTATAGCAATAATGGCCTAACAACAGTTCTCCAAGTATTGTTCTGCGGACCACTGCCACAACCCTTTCAGGGAGTCCACAAATCAAATAAATAAATAAATTCAATAAATAAGTTCAATAAATAAACAAACAAAGATTTCTCAGTTCTAAATTTTAATACAGTAAATATCAGTACATACAGTCCACACAAACTAAAACTTTCAATCAGTTTTAAATATGTAAAGGGAGGTGGGGCAGAGACCAAAATATTTGAGAACTGCTGGCTTTTAAAATAGTCTAATATTGCCATACAGATTTAGCCTTCTAAATTTCTTGATTATATTTTGTTCAAAAGAAAGCAATTTCTAACCCTTGGAGCTAGCAGAACGTTGATGTGCGTAGGTGCATACATACACCATGCATAAAAAAAAAAGAGCAGCACAAATAATTGTGCATCATGTTCTTCTAGCTCTCCCTTCTTCATGGCAATTCAGTTTACATCATTGCAATTTTTGCTGCCATTTTAGAAAAATTGATTTGGGGAGGGATGCTTCCCCATGGAAAACCACCTAGGTATCCTATGACAATTACATGCAACACGCACATGGCCCTTCTGTGTTATATATCGAAACAAGAAAAAATATATCAAAAAGCTGTTATGAGTAGAAACAACTGAAGTCTAAAATGGAAACAGAAGTTTGTGATTTCATAATATGTAACTTTAATGTACTAGAGATGCCTGTATTACTTTGGCTAAAAGCACAATTCCATAAATTAATCATGATCCATCTTTCTTTTTCAGATGAGAGTTTTCAAGCTTGCCAAATCTTGGCCAACTCTCAATATGTTAATTAAGATCATTGGGAACTCAGTAGGTGCCTTGGGAAACCTCACTCTAGTCCTGGCCATCATAGTTTTCATCTTTGCTGTGGTGGGCATGCAGCTATTTGGGAAGAACTACATAGAGTGTGTCTGTAAAATTTCCAGTGACTGTGAGCTGCCACGCTGGCACATGCATGACTTCTTTCACTCCTTTCTTATTGTCTTCCGCATCCTCTGTGGAGAATGGATTGAGACCATGTGGGATTGCATGGAAGTGGCTGGACAGCCCATGTGCCTCATTGTCTTTCTAATGGTCATGGTCATCGGGAATTTAGTGGTGAGTACAGGAATATAAAATTAAATACTATAGAGAATGGTTGATGAACTTTTTAAATTTAGGTTTATGAAAGTCACAGAGATATGTGAGAAAGACTCACTAACTTAGAAGGGGTTCAATCCTATGTGTGTTGTGGTAAAAGACCTGGAATGTTATTTAAAGGCAGAAATGTGTGCCTTAATATGTTGAGTTTGTCCTTATGTATTTGCTATTTTAGAAAAGACAAAATAATGCTGCTGAAAATTAGTTATTTCATGTTGGATTTCTTTGTTATGCTCTCCTTGATGGAAACTTCAAGAGACTGTAAAAATAGGTCACAAGTTGCCAACTGCTTTTATTTTTTAAAAAAATAGTCAGATCTTTTTTCAGTTTTGTTTGTAAAAAACAGTATTTGTTTAAACTTGATATGATATTAAACTCCCTTTTTAGATTTTATACATACTATGTATGTATGTATGTATGTATGTATGTATGTATCCACAGTAACTGAGAAATAGCTAGTTATCTAAACCTTCAACATAATGAAGGGAAAGTTGCTACCACAAATGGAGACTGACTAAATACACATTACATCCAATACTTAAGAAGACCTCAAAGTCTAAGTGGATGTGCAATCAAAACCTGAAGCTGGAATGTCTTTATCACCCTCTCCATTACAGAGCACAATTGCTGATGTGAGGCATAAGATCATAGATAAAGTAGCTATAATCAACCCTCAAAACCGATTACTAAAGCTCATCAGAGATATACCATCAGATAGTATGCTAGAAGATGGCAATAGAGCCCTCAGAACAATCACTACTACAACAAAACTCAAACCAATGGATTGATATATGCTACAGCCACTGTAATCCTGGATATGTTTGGCCACACAATTAAGAAGAATAGTAGTATTTAGCTTCCCTGGAAAATAAGGTTAGAGTTAAGATCAAGGCAACTTAGAGAGAGGTTAGTCAGTTGGTGGAATAAGGTGTCAGGATTGGAGATTAGCTACTGAAAAGAAATGCAAGGGCCTGACTCCATCTGACTACTAAACAAAGGCTTGTAGCAGTGGCTACCAGGTTAAGGAGATACATGAGAGAAGCAGAAGCCAAGAAAATAAATGGATGTCCTCCAAAACCATCCACAGGGTACTCTAACTACAGTGCAATAACATAGTAATAACAGAACCATCAAGAGCAAAAATTGAAAAATAATCAAAGGAAAATATGGGTAGTATTGGCTACCAGGCTAAGGAGATACACTAGAGAAGCAGAGGCCAAGATGATAAATGCCCTATTTTCTAAAGAACATAAAAGGTGTACTCCCAACTGCAGTGCAGTGCATCAGCAGAGCCACCAACAGCACAAATTAAACAGTGCTGGAAGGACATATGGGAGAAAGAGAAGGCATATAAAACAAGTGCAAAATGGTTGTAGTACCTGAGAACAGATCACAGCAATATCCCAGAACAGGGACCAGTCATCAGTACAGTAGCAGATATCCAACAACAGGTTAAGAACATGAAGAGGTAGACTAGTGGTTCCCAACATGGGCCCCACGTGGGGGCAATTTGATTTTTAATGGGGGCAAGTTCAATCTTGTTTTAACCAAGTTAATGGCCTTTTAGGCTTCCTCCACGTGAGTAGAATTCACTTTTTGAGTAAAGTAATAATTATATGTCACAGAGGGTGGGAGGATTTTAGAGATGCTTATGTGGGGTTCGGGCATTAAAAAGTTGGGAACCACTGAGCTAGACAGTACTTGGCCCAGACATGATTCACATGTATTGGCTAAAGAAACTAACAACAATGTATGAGCTAGGAGCATAGATGAACCAGCTATTAGTAGCAGGCTCCCACCAAACTGGTTACCCCAAGGAAGGACAGTATTGATCATGAAATACTCCCACAAGGGAACAGCAACATCCCTGAAAAGAAAGAAAATGTACCCTACAATCCCCCTAATTTTAATGCTAGATTTGTAAGTAATCAGGTATCAGTGTTGCTGCCCAACATCCCACCAATTGCTAGGTTCAGATTCTTTTTCTGCCAAGAGTTTTCCCGCTACAATTTATTGCTAGATTCAAATATGGTTGACTTATTTTAAATTGAAACACATTATTTCTATGGGAAAATAAGCAAATGGAAATGCAATTTAGGCAAAGAAGTTAACAAAGAGAAAGCCTCTCCACAATATTAAATAATTCCATTTGTATGCATATGACTTCCAGTCTCCATTCTGTTCTCTCATCTCAAGTCAATAATTTTTCATGGTAAGAATGTTGTAGTTTGATCTAAGAAACTTAATATATTTTTAGAATCTCTTAAGCTAGCTATTCTTTTTTCATCATTATCAAGTTATGATGATTTATGAAAGTTATAAGAGTGAAAACCCCTAACTTGAGTCAATGTTACAGTTATTGGTGATTGGCAGCTGTAAGTAGTATTTAAAAGAAGCCTCCAAGAGCTTAAAGGAAACCAAAGGAGTTTATATAAAAGTCCTAGTTAAGTCATGAGGCATAAGACATGTGTAAATAGCCATGACCTTGAATATCAGCAAAATCCCTTCTCAAATGTATTCCTGGCAGGATTGAAGCACAAACATCAACAGCTGTGAGTGGGCAGGAAGCAGGCTTTTCACAGCAAACACATTCCCCCTTTTTTGCTGATGTTACTGTACCGGCATACCTAAGGGTTTTTTCCCCAATAAAAATGCACAGGATTTTCCTTTCAGCCAAACATGGGAGATCAAAAGCAAGATCCCAAATTCAAAAGAACATTTTTTTTACTGGAGCAAACAGATTCCGCATCTTGTTTCCATCAGAAGCCAGACAGATGATTACAAGAAATCCCAAAGTAGATCATGCAGAGTCATTTTTTAAGGGCTGTTTGCACTTAAGAATTGGTATTCATGGAATATGGCTTGTGAATATTGGACGATCTGCTTATCCATTATGACTAAAAGTAGCTGAATCACCAGAAATTTGTCTAATCCTATTATGAACCCATATATAATCATGGCTATCACTCACTTTTTGGGAATAACTCTTGTAAATTAATATATTGTGTGATCAAGGCCTTCCCTTTTTCCTGGTGTGAACTGTTACCACAGTCACTAAATCCTGAAGTCCAACACTGCCTATTGCTCATCAGATTTATTTCATGAGAGAAGAACTTTATCTCCTTTATCTACTTTTTTCTTTGGCCTTTCCCAGATCAACATGGTTGCCACCATTCTAAAAATATTAGGTCATCTCTCCAGATGATCAACTGCAACATGCAAAATAGTGCAAATAATAAATCTTTCACACAATAATAAGTCTTGTGTGTCATTGTGATTTAGCAATCACTACATTGTGTTATCTCATAATATTGTTTACCAAACTGAGCAAGTCCTTTTTCATCATTTTTTTTCAAAAATGAACAAATATTATAATATTATTTTTGCTTTTTGAATGTAATAACCTTGAATCAAGCAAGAGTAAATCAAGTTAGATTTTATATTTTTATTATATACAACTGAAGAAAATATTGGTTTCTTTAGGGAGGTTTAACTTGGGGAGGTATTTGCTATAGTTTTCTTTCCATCTTCCTTTGGACACTGTCTAAGAAGCAGATCATTAGGAAGGGAGTTTATTTATTCGAAATATAGCTTATCCATAATTTATATATTTCATTGGCTTTTACTTTACTGTATATTCGTCACAATTATCAGAAAGTAAGCCATAGAGAAGTTGATGTAATAGTGTAATACAAATGAGTTATGACTCAAGACCTGGATGTGTTTCAATGTTTTAATGTAATCAACCTGCCACAAAGTTCCTGGCTGACAAATTGATAAATAAAATAAGGATCAGACTTTGTGCTTATATGCAAAGAATACATCCTGTTCAAATGGCAGGAAATGGTTGGATAAAGGTTTGAGGCAACAACAACATCTTTGGAAACCAAAGAAACTGTATTGTATTAAATTTATATTTACCAGCAAAATAATACCGGGGGAGTAGTATAAGTCTGTTTCAAGCTATTTAGCTCTTGTCAGCTAGCCATACCCTTCTGGGATTTGAATGGCTAGCTGACAAGAGCTAAATAGCTTGAAATAGATCTACACTAGTCTCTCTTTATTTCTTTGTCAGTAAATATAAGTTTAACACAAAAATGATTTCTCACGAAAGTGACTACCTGCAAAGGCCCCTGGATTGGGGCTGAAAGGCAAAAGTGGAAGTAGTATGCTCCGTCCCATATTTGAGTATGCTCCGTCCCATATTTGAGTATGCTCCGTCCCATATTTGTCCTGATAGACCTCACTGGAAAACACTTAAACTGTGTTGTAATACAGCATAGACTTATTTTGCATGATTTATATAGAATTTTGATTTTCTTAAATGAGAACATAGATTATTTGGCAACATAAGGTATTTTCTTATATCTCTTTCTATTATCTTTATTTTTCTTAAATTTTGTGAATTGGTTGGCAGAACCTATCTTTGGTTATTTCTTCCTGTTATTTCTTCCTATAAATTATGGAAAGCATTCTGAATATTTTTTTTAAGGTGATATTTGCTTTTGTCCTTTTAGGTACTCAACCTGTTTTTAGCTTTGCTGCTTAGCTCCTTCAGTGCCGATAGCCTGGCAGGATCCGATGATGATAGTGAGATGAACAATTTGCAAATTGCAATTGGCAGGATCAACCGAGGAATTGATTTTGTAAAGAAACATGTCCTGCTGCTGCTTCACAGAGAACTGAAAGAGAAAACAGAGCTATCATCTGAGGAACCAGATGACAGTAAAAAAGAAAACTTTGTTCTCAACCACATGGACAATCTTAACCATGTGGACACAGGCCAGGATTTCAAGTCTGAATACATGGATGGAATAGTAAAAAACGAGCAACTCATTGATGAACTGGGACAAATGAACTTCATTAATAATCCCAACCTGACCATAAATGTACCTATAGCATCTGAAGAGTCTGATCTTTATGATGAAACTGATACAGGTGAAGAAACTGCTGATGACATCAAGGTGAGTTCCCCTCCCCCCAAAGATTTTAATGCAGAGATGCATCTGGCTGGAATTTTTTTTAAACATATCCACATACAGGATCTTTTGCTGAGACTGTTCTCAAAAATGTTTGTCCAAAAGGTAGGTTGTCTATCATTACCAATTGCATTATGCATTGAAGAGGATTCTAGAACAATTCCTGTTCACAAGTTATGTAGCTTTATGGAGAGAGTGAAACTAGATAGAAGAAAAATTGAATGAATAGTACTTAGAAAAAATGGCAACATCTCTAAACATACAGTACATTTCCATAATGCCATTCTTTTTACATAACTCCTCTTACAAGCTTTTAAAAAATCTATTGTTTTTCAAATGCATCATATGATGATGACGATTATCTTCATATATCACTATGCTGCCTCTGTTTATAATCTATTTATGTAGTCACTAGGACTAAAAAATGACTAGATGGCACATATTCTCCAGGGCATCATGGGAGAGTCACAGCTGAGTTATTATCACAGCCTGATTGGTCGAGACTGAGTTTCAATCTTGAAACCACGTCTCTTCCTCTGTAGCTCCTGTTTGTTACTGAGTCTGGTCGAGGTGACTGTGATTAGATTTAGCTCCTGAGCAAACTTTTCTAATTTGATTTAATTGGCTATTTTTAAAATTCTAAAAAGAGAGCTGCTGGATACATGATGGAAATGAAGGTGAAGCTTTAATTATGAATGGACTAAAGTGTGTGAATATTAAAAAACCTATAAATTGGTTATTATCATCTAGTTGTGAATACAAACAAATTATTGGAATTATGGTAGTTGCAGGGGTAGACTGCAGCATTTTGAAGGAACGTGACTAGTGGAAAAGGTTATTCTACTAGAAAGACTGAAAGAATGCATCTTTTTTTCACCTAGAATCCGTAGATGATCTTAGGGGGAAAGTGGACATGGGAAAAAATGGAAAGAAGTGACAAAAATCTAAAATAAAAGTGTACTGACTAAAAGGTAGAATAATCCACTGGTAGAATAAATAGAAAGTTAATAAAAGAAAAAAGTTATGGAACTGTCTGAAATTACTATATGTTTGTGAAGTTACCATATAGGAAGTATGATAAGGGATCTTTGTGAGATTAGAAAGAAGTTTGGATGAGGAAAACATTTAAAATGTGGATAAAAGTAGTTATTGCATAATAAATCTAGCAACAAAAAGAATAGATGTAATGTATGGTGTTAAAGAAAGCAAGGGACTATTAGGACTAAAAGAGGCAGAAATAACGTAATGATGATTTTGCCCATCAATGTTCTGACTGACAAGCCCAACTTAAAGTAAGCATAGTTGAGACAAGCCAATCTCTTAATGCAAAACTTTAATGAATACATCATATTGGCGAAGATGAGGGCAAAACCAGATTTAACTATTTCCCATGCAATCCCATATAGTTAAAGTTCAAGATCTCCCTCTCCCCCTATTAGGCCAGGTTACTTGTCCAATGGAGACTTCTTTTATTGTTATGAGAAAGTCTTTTTCAGCTCTGGTAAACACCTGCCGAAATATCCTTGGTTCCCATGGCTGGCATCTTGATGTCTGGAGCTCCGTTCTATCTCTCCCTTCCCTCCCCCTATAGTTTATTGGCAATCTGAGAAGTGATAATAGTTATAACAGCAAAAATGCCATTTGAAGCTTGACATCTGATTCATAAGAGGTAAAAAGTCATCCTAAATGAAATGGTAAGTGCATCATTTACAATACAATAAGAACGGAGAAATAAATATGTTTTACCATCTTTTATCATGCTGCTGTAGCTTGAGCTCATGAGCTCACACCCATCTTTAATCCACTCCAATCTTTTTCATCAGTACTACCAGGCATCTGTTCTGTCACTCTGTATTGGGGAGCTGAATCAGGCACTTGAGGAAAAACCTGAAGTGGCCATTGAAAGGAATGTACTAGTACCTTTTTTATTAACACATTTTAGTAAAAGTCATAACCTGCCTTTTCATGATCTGTATTTCACTTCACCAAATGCATAGAGTTGCTAGATTGAAGTAGGATTTAAATCGAGGCAAGGCAGGAGGTGAGAAGGGAGAGGAAGATAGACCAGTTATTCATACGCAGATTAAATATGAAATAGATATATTTTTAAATAGTAAGATATTCAGAGTCACTCATGTAAGGTAAGCACCTATATAAATGGAATGAATGGATAAACAAATGAATAAATAAATAAATAATTGCAAGTATCTTATCAATTAACAATTGTACTTTGTTAAAAACCTATTGTGTTTGTTGAGACCATCTGAAATTGCTGAAATCTCTTGATGTTTGTGAGTTTAGGAATTTATCAACCAATGGTATTGTAAATGAAGTCCACTTTTCCAAAAACATCTCTTTGCTGTTTAGTGAAGTCCATTTTTCCAAAATAGTCATATAAAGAGTTCTAAGAATCTGAAATCTGTTTTTACCATTTTGTTGTTTTGAGTCCTGATTTCAAATTTGTACTCATCAATTATTTTATGTAAGATTTGTCTCGTATGTCCTATGTAAAATCCAGAAGGGTATTGCTGGCAGATTATGGCATATGTCACATGAGAGCAAAAGTATGTGAAAGTACCTTATTTGTGTCCTCCTAGTGCTCTTCATGTAGATGTTGGAACAAGATCAGACTGGTTTGTATAATTCCATCAGAGTTTCCAAATTGGCCATTCCTATTGGCCATTCCTATTTCCAGCCAGCAGTCCTGTCTCTGTATCCAATTCTGATATCCTAGACTTCCTTCCTTCCTTCCTTCCTTCCTTCCTTCCTTCCTTCTCACTTCTTCTTTCTGCCTTTAATCTGCTCCTATCAAAACAAAGTAGTCTTCAAACTAGCACAAATTCCCATTACATTTTTGCAATCTCATAGCAATATCCATTCCTTCAGTTTTCCTCTGATTTCTCAGTCCAGTTTTACTAGGCTGATGAAGGCAGGAAATTTTCTCTCCTGCCTTCACTCCAGATTTCTTCAATCTGAGTTTCAATCAGACTATCCTGATCCTGGGTGTTGGTGCTTTCTCAATGATGGTGCTCTCAGTGACAATCTGGTCAATTACTTTTTAACTATCACTGAGTCAATATATTTCTGGGCCACTTCAGCTTAGATGTTAATGAATCCAATTCTTCTTCCTCCCTGACAGTTTATTACTTCCTTTTTCTTTCCTACAATTGACATGTTTACTTTTTATCTGTCTGTCTGTCTGTCTGTCTGTCTGTCCATCCCTCCGTCCCTCCCAAACCACCTTAATCCGGCTCTGCCCTCTCTTCATTTTCTTGCCATGCCACAACTCCATAAACTCTTCAATAACTCCAAAATTCCTATCAACAGCACCCATCCAACCACCTTTTTTGTCATCTCTTCTAACCATTATATTTTCCTAGTTGTTTTGTAACAGTTAGTTGACAGCTTCCAGTCTCTTCACTTTCGTTTTATGCCCACTATATAGACTTTCCAGTTTTGGTGGAAAGTCATAATGTTTAGGACTCCCTCCTTTGCCCATGACTTTTCTATCTCCAGCAACTATCTCTGTTACCATTACTCTACACCAAGAGAGTCAAAAAATTGGTAGGAGGTGGGGGGCTAGCTATTCTTTCCTTGGCCAAAGGAAAACTGTAGTGGGCTCCTAGGCAGTGACATCTTCAGGTTGCCATAACAGCAGATAGCATATTAAGGATGCTTTCCAGGATCCAGTGTAAGATAGTAATTGGGTAGCAATGAAATATATACTGAAAGAGGCTCACATAGTAAATATTCAAAGAGAGCACTGCTCTGAATAGAAATATGCTTCTTATGAAAGGGACTTTCAATTTGTACAGAGTGGTCTGTACAAATGGAGTGTGTGAATGAACATAGGATCTAAAATTAATTCAGTATGTGCCTAAAGGTTTTATCTTTTAAAATGCCCGTAAGCCATCAAAATCTGGAGCCGGTTTTAGGCCTGGACACTCAAGAGGGCTCAGGACAACCATATATTGGTATTGCTGGATATTGTGAGTTTTGGATGTCAGTAATTAAAATTAGAATATGTAGAGAAGAATCCTTTTCAGCACGTGTAAACTATAAACCAGCTGTCAGATATAAATGCCCTCCCAACATCTGGAGCATTTCAATATAAATGATGGGAATTTTAGGAGATACCAAGTTGAGGATGCTGTTTTTAATTTGTGTCTCTGTTATCAATGTCATTGTTTACAATAAATGATGATAAATAAAATCATGAACATTTATAGACTGTTTTTCCTGAGTTACTAAGAGCCTATGATCAGTTTCCTACACATGTGGGCATCAGTGCTTGACATTTAGGAAATAGGACTTCCAAATTTGAGACTCCAGCATATCCTGAAGCCTCAGTATTTTCCGAAGTTAGAAATAAAGCTCAGTTTGGGAGCCTCTTTCCTAATGTCAAGGCTCAGGAGCAAACTTTCTAAATATAAAGAGAAGCTAAAAGCTTTTTAAGAAGGAGCAATTCAGTTGATGCCAGAAGATTTCCCATACACAGTAATGTTTATGTGAATAGGACTATATTAAAGTGACACCTAGTGGCAAATTCTAGCCATACAACAATTTTTTTAAAATAAGAAATATATGCAGTTATTTATAGTTTATCCGGCATATATCCTCCTCTCCTTAAAACATGTATACTTAAACATTAGTATCAATTATAGAGTAGAAGCTCTGTAATTAAAGTGACACTTTTTCTAACATTCTACCACCCTATGTGCCCTGGGAATTGCATTTATTGTAAACTGAAAATGCCAGGTTCAGTAAATACATAAGTTCATAGAGACTAAACATCAATTAAAAAGAGATATAAATGTAGCAGAATTTCAGAGAAATCTGCAAAACATTACTAAGCAGCTGCATTGTAATGAACGAGTCATCGTTTGTAGTCTTATTTGTATCTGCCAAAATTTCCTTCCCTGCCTCCTCCTCCTTATTCCCATTTCCCTCCCTCTCTCCCAGGATATTTATTTATTCATTTTAAA